CAGCAAGATACCACCCCTGAAACAAAAGCCAATTTTTTTCTAATGGAAGACATGTAGGACAAAAAGCAGTTTAAGCTAAGCCACTGGCCCTATTAACATAAAATAATAACTAATATATCCCCCAACCTCCCCCTTAAAAGGGAAAAAAAAACAAGCATGTATCTCAAAAGTTGAACCTGTAAGATATTCCTTTAATCCAAATGTAGTGGCAAACCCTAACCTTATCCTGAACAATGTCATCAAATGTCATCAGAGTGTAAGTCTATCAGAATAGAAAGAGAATGAGTATTGGCAGGCAAAGACTAAGGGGTCTATTCACAAAGCAGCCGAAGGATCTAGCCGTAGCTTGGGCCGATCCTTCGGCTAGCTTTGGCCCCAGGACCCTTCGGTTCAGTAGAACCAAAGGGCTGCTGTACGGGCTATTCACTATAGCCCGTACAGCTCCCGAACTTGGCCGAGCGGCTCAGTCGAACCGAACGCATATGCCTTGGCTCGGCTGTGCCGCGCTGAAAGCCGAAGTTGGCCATTGGCCGGCCGACAGCCTGCTGGCTGGCTCCGGCCACTTGCAGAGACAGATCAGCGTCCCCTGGTTACCAGGTAACCAGGGATGCTGATCTGTCATTACCAGACATCCCAACTCTCCCGGATGCTCCGGGAGTCTCCAGCTACTAGATAACGGCTTCTGACAGCTGGGCGGAGCCAGCCGTGATGTTACGGCTGGCTCCGGCCACATGCAGAGAGATCAGTGTCCCTGGTTACCAGCTAACCAGCGGCACTGATCTCCAGACAGCAAACTCTCCCTGGCACTCCGGGAGTCTCCAACTCCCAGCCACCAAGGAGAGAAACACTGATTTTTCTTTTTTTTTCTTATTATGACACGGAGCCGTGTCTGAATAGAAAAAAAAAACAAAAAACATTTTGGCCATAGGAATGCATTGCTAGATTGCTATTGGCTATTTACTGTTTAACACAAACAAAATATAAAACAATTGATACAACCTTTTTTAACATGCAATTTTTTTGTGTATATTAGACAAGAGGTTGTTTTTCTCAATATAGAGGTCAAGAAAGGTGTCATGAGTGGCAGAATTACCCACTGAACTTTATGTACTCACCTGGGGCACTCATACAGGGGAAAATGTTGTAATGTACAAGGGCAGGAGAGGTGACTGAGGTGGTGAGAAACAGATTAGCTTTAAATTGGCAAAGCTACAACTGCTTTTGGCACGCAACTTGTTCTCTGTTCCCAGGGGAGTTTAACTGGCGATACCAACACTCTTACACAATATGGCAAGCCAAGTAAATTTGCTGAGCCAACTTTTAACTCTATAAACACAATTATATTAAAAGTAAAGACAGAGAATATTGTGTTTTCTTTCTTAGTTATTTTCATAAATATTACATTCGAAATTGATAATGACAGTATAATTTAAAATGTTGTACATATATAGGTTTAAAAATCTGTTTATCTGCTGTACTTCTTTTCCTTTACATGGTGATTACAAATACATTAATAATCATGGTGTTTCATTTTTAAACAAGGCAGTTACAGACTTTATATCTGTACTTTGGATTTTTTTCATTGTTACAGATTTGAGATGCATTTTTCTTTATTGTTTTCTTTATTTCATTGTTTTCTGGCTACTGTAATTGTATTGTAAATGTATCATGCTCATTATGTGTTATTGGTGCCATAAAGCCGGGGTAAACTAAGCTGAAACCCTGCTACTTTCTTTTATCCATGCAATGGCATGCAAGGTAGAATTTTTAAGGGGGACACTGTGCACTTAAATATTACATATTGATTTAACATGGATGGTTCAATGGAACATTGTTAAATTACAAAATTCACATGTAAGCCATAGATCAGGCATCCGGTAGCTTTAGTACAACCCCCATATTGGGGTTATTTACCCTTCATTCACCTGGCCACAAATAAATGTACATGCTACGGCATAACTTTTCACATTTTGTATATCAGAGCTTACTGTTCTGTTCAAACAGCCAACTAACCAACTGGTTGCTTGAAAGAAACAAAGGTCCATCAGTCTTTAAATCCCTTAGATAAAGATCAGGAACCTTCAAAAAATGTAACACTATTATATATATTTTTTGGAAAAAGAATTTCTGACTCTCGAAATTACCTAGTCTATATGCATTCATGCTAATGAATTACACATTTTAGACCAGTATTTTCTGAAACATGGGATGTATAATTGTTGTGTTAAAAATTATACTGCCTGCTCATTATAAACAGAAGACCGAAATGTTTACTTTAGGGCTTTGGTTACAATATTTGAGTGAAGATGCTACTTTTCCAAGAAGGTGGATATGTATAGCAAATAAGATATGCATCTAAGTAAAACAAAGACAAAAATAAAGACTCTGCAGAGATTAAAACTACAGTATTTGAGGGTATTCATCACATATATAATAGTACCACAAAATATATAATGTAGGTGAGTGGTACAATTGATCCTACCAAGACCACTCTCAAAAATGTAAAAATGAAAAATTAGAGGCTGCATTCATGCATGATAATACTAAGTCCACCAAAGTTGTGGATGATTTAGACCAGTTAATCACTAAGGAGCATTTTCATCTTTTACTGTATTCAATACATTTGCCTCACCTCCCACTGTCATACATATCGGACATCTCCTTTTATCTAGAACTTTACTTCAATCCGTGAACACTTGATAAAACCCTAACTCTTAACATAACCCCTAACACTGATAAACGAACCCTTAACGTGTTAATTTAGCTTAGTGGCTTGGGGACTATTAGCAACAAAACTAAAGAGTTTTATACCAAAGATGTTGGAGCCAGAATATGCTGACCTAATGTTTAAAAACTTACAACAGAAAAAAAAATACAAATAATATTAATTAGTAAGAATGTAAATAGTAACTATCAGTTTATGGCAAACCTATAATTCAGACTCTTTTCAGTTAATTTTTGAAAGGAATAAAACATTTTCTCTTAGCAAAATGAATGTCCACTATGGAAAGTGTATGTTTACTTGTCTGTGAATGTTCTCATTTATCCAGGTCATGATAAAGCTTTTAGTGTTTAGTCAAATTCAAATGGGCTTTTTATGTATTGTTAAAAATGTGTCATGCCCCTCTTTAGCTCCATTTATATCCACACCGGTAGCACGGACACCTTAATCCAATCACCATGGAATGTTTAGATTTTGATTTTTCAAGAATAGGATGGGAAGTGTGAAAGTTGTGGAACCACCATGTGGTTATAGTTACATAATTCCATCTTTGGTGTCAGAAAGTCTGCATAGGTGTTAATTCCTCTGTTTTTATGGTTAAAACTGTGAATTGTTCTCATATCACCAGGTTAGAGATGTTAACATGGAATTATATGTGGGGAACAAATAGTGTTGAAGGCCCCCAGGCCTGTTGAGGGATGGTTATTAAAGTCTGACATACAGTAGATGGCCTCTTTAACCCCTCTTTAAACTGGTTATCTTTTGTGTCTAAAGCACCCCCTTCCATCTTGACTCCACTAGACAGGAGGGTTCTTATATTGCCTATAAGGCAGCATTACCATCCCATCACCATTGGTCCCAGAGCTGCTTACTGCATGTACATGTATAACTTCTACAGACAGAAATAAGGCTGTGCCGGAGGATCACCTCTTTCTCCCTTTGTAGCTATCCTGTACAATAACCTTAGACTATTTCTGGGGAATAATATCAAGTCTTTCGAGATATCTGGATCAAGAATAGAACACAAATCTTGAACACAAACTCAGTGGGCAAATACATCACGTTTATGCAGGAAGAGGCACAGAATATCTAATTACCCTTTTCCACAAGAAACAAAAAGAAAAACAATAGACTAAGAACATTTAACCAGAACAGTCAGAGCAAATAGCTCAAAACAGTTTAGCTGAAGTCAAGTTATTTAAGCATTTAAGATCAATCATGGCAAATGAATTCTGGAGTAAAAAAATCTCTACATAGACGTTTCTCATGCTTTGCCATTTTGATTATAGAGAAAAAGCTTATGCCGCTTTATCAGCCTATAGGGTATACCTTAGAAGATATGTGGATGAATGAACACACTTTTAACAATTGCTCAGAAGTCTAGTAAAGAGGTGGTCCATGAACCATCTGTATCCACAGAGACAGTTGGTGTCCAGCATAGAGGAGAGAACTGCACGCCAGAGGATCCAGTTTATGAATGGCCAGGAGTAGTTCTGCACAGATCACTTCCTGTTCCTTCATAATTGGGGACATAGTAAGCATACTATCACTCATCAGTTTGTGAATGGATCGGATGCCTGTGTGCTGAGCGATTCCTGATCAGTAAGTGCTGGGGCTGCAGAGCAGAAGATTGAGGACTCTACATCCTCTATCTATTTTTCCCCAAATCCCCCTGACATTAATGTATAAAAATAGGTTAAAAATATTTTTTAAAAACCCACACATAATGTACATGTCCAACAGTGTCCACTATATTGTGCAGTGTATTGTTAATCAATTTAGATTTTCCTGATATTTCTATAAAGATCTGTCTGGTATGTGGAAAATCATGCAATTCAAAAAGCAAAGCAATCTTGAAACACGAGTTGTATTATCATCTGCAATTTGACAAACATTCAGTCATGTTATTCAGAAGTACAAGAAAATACCCAATTTGTTATAATAACATGCATATGTGGTACAAAAGCAGGGAACTGCGTCACTCCAAAGATCAGTGTGTAATCTTTAATCCATTAATTGGCATACAGCAAATATCTCAGATCAACATCTCTAACACATTTCATGAAAACTTGTACTTAATCATAGAGCATTATATGTGTAGTCAATGCATCCATTTATAAGAAAACACCCATTTGTAAGGGTGTTTTTCCAATATTGGCTGTGATATCTTCACATATAATGCTCTAGGATTAGGTGCAGGTTTGTGTTAAACGTGTTAGTAATGTTGATCTGAGATATTTGATGTATGCATATGTGCTAGTTATAAATGACATCCTACCTTTATAGTTCACCTTAAAGCCGATTGAGCCAATGCTGTCATCAGTTTGTAAATGAAGCCACATCTGATTAGTTATGCTCACTATTAGGTCTGGAACAAAGCTTCCTGTTAGCCTATTGTAAAGGAAGAATAGGGATAATATCATCATACCATGTTTTATGATTGTACATTATTTAATAAAAAAGCAGGGGTCAAAAAGTTTAAAGGACCACATGTCCAAACCCCTCTTCAAGTTGGTAAAGTTCTACAGTGTTACAAGCTCATTCTTTAGATCCAGAATCAGGGCTTCCAAACAACTAACTTGCTTACATATCACATAACTGTATTTACCCTACAACGGTTGTTCAAGGAGTGCATATATAGACCAGAATGGGCACTGAGTCACATTACCACGCATGCAAGACATGGTTGCCTCTAGCCTTATCTGAATACCTATTTTTTTTTAGCACTGCTACAATTTATCATTCTGTTGTATATTAGTTGCAGATCTTAACCCTGGTCTGCTCAACTATTCCTTATAGTGCACTACACCCGTATGTTAATTGTGCACTAAGCAAAGCAAACCTCCCTTGTACCGCTGCCCAATCCAAGCCTCACAGGCACATCAGCCCTGTTAAGGTCCTCTCCCAGCACTACCCAACTCGCTCTGTCAGCAGAAAGTGTATAGCAGATGCCCGATCACTCTCAATAGTGACTATAGTAAACACCCACCCTCTCACCACATCTCCCCACACAACCACCCACACACTCTAGAAACCAGCCCTCTCAGAGCAGACCTGCATTCTTTCACAACTTTTTCCTACATGCTCACACATGTTCATCTGAACCTCTCCAGTCCTCTCCCCACAGACACCATCTCTCACAGTGCCCCTCTACTATTCCCTGAATTTGGGAGCTCCCCAGAAGGCTCCTGTTCCTGTGGAAACTCCATTCTCACTCCAGAGAGACAGTCATACATACAAATCTCTCATACCCCTTGAAGATAAAACAGCAGTCAAACCACAGACAGCCATACCAAGATTATGCATGTGCACTTTTACTCACTCTGGAAGATACCTGCCTAGCAAAGCTTACCATCTTCTTTAACTTACTCATACACCCTGAAATTGCATTCTTTATGGTAATCCAGAAAGAGGCTATTTTACCTCTTACCTCTGTGGGCTCGTTTTTCTGGCCACTCCCCTCAAACTTCTCTGGTCTCTGCTGGCAACCAACTGTCTGCAGCAGGGACCACACATGCTGTCCTCAGTCAGCGCTCACACACATCACTCACACACATCACTCACACTAGCTCCTATAATCACCATGGCCGCACATAAATCCCTTGGCCTGCAATGTGCTCTTTGCTTTTGCTGAAATGCAGAGCTGCAAAACCCCAATCTTAAATCCTCATTGTAACCTTAAGCACTTCCCTGATAAAATGTATAAATATTTTAAAAATCATTCTTACCTTGCTCATAAATGTTATAATTTTCCCATGAATGCCAATGTGTGCTCCCACCACCCAAGTCCCTAAACTATTGTGGGAGTGCTTATAAAATGCTGCTACTTGCAGCAATAACTCTCCAAGTCAAAGCTGAAACTACAGCTAACACAATTCCTTGCAGTGTTCCCTGAAAGGAGGACACAGACATTTGGGTGTGATCATAAAGAACATGCATCATGGAGATGGAACCTGCATAAGCAGGTCAGTGGAATGGGCATAGTTGGGTTGTAGGTTGTGGTCTGCAGTTGACTGACAGGCTAGGTGTTCATACAATAACAACATTTAAAAACAAAATAATTATAATGAAATATAATTGCTAATCAACATGTACTTACGCTTGCAAAACAGTTTTTGGATCTCCGACTTCTCCTCCATCTCCAACTGTCAAAGTGTCATAGCCTATTTCTAAATCAAATTCTTCAAAATTGATTTGAATAACCTGAAAGGAAGTAGCATAATACAAACCTGTTCAAATGTATTTAGGGCCCCTGCTAAGCATAGATAAGTCAATATGGAACATGTTGAACAAAAATGTTAAATGTTCCTAAACCAGATGGACAAATATAAATGATGTCTCCTGTTCAATAATAATGTCGACATGATCCACCATAAATTTTTTCAACAGTACCACTTAACAATTTAATGAGCATTGAATGCTAGGGTCACTGGTGGGGAGACAGAGGTTATTTTAAATGTTATTTAATATGCTTATAAGCACATTGTTTATTTAAAGAGAGAGATAAAAAAACACCATCTGGAGAACTCACAATGCTAACAATCACCCCATCCCAGTTTATAGCATGCATCCTCATAAAGCAAAATGATTAAATCAAGTACAAAAAAAGTTACTTTATTAAACATTTTTCGGTTCCAAATATCTGGCCAAATCTGTTGCAGCTGCTTTACTCAGTTTGGCAAAAATATTATTAATGGTCATTGGTCATAATAGGCCATACTCAGGTCATAGGGTTCACTAAGCTACGTTTATAAAAATCATTATTATCTCCCTAATGCATGATAAATACCAAGGTCAGGGAAAATTTCAAATGACCTGGCAGTTCTAACACAGGACATTTAATGAGGTTTATTTACCAAAATAATAGAATATTCACTCAGCCTAGAGGGACTCAGTCACTAAATAATGTGCTTCCTGTAAAAAAAGATAGGATTTCATTTTTTCCTGCACCACCAACTGCTTAAAGGAGAACTATGAGGTGAGTGCTTTTCACTCACCTCATAGTTCGAGCTGACCTGTGTCAATGAGACTGTCACAGGTCGGCTCAGTAGATCGGGAGGTGAGCGAACACATACCGCGTTCACTCACCTCTCGATCCTGTCACAGCCCTCTGCCGTTACAGGGGAGGGGCTGGATTCCCCCCTCCCCACTCCGATCCACCAGCACTGACTGGCAGATCGGAAGGGGGAGGGGGCAGGTACAGCTGGCTCTGCCTCTAGATAGGCAGAGCCAGCTGTCACTCACACAGCTGGGTGGATCCAGACATAATTGTTGGGATCCGCTTCAGCTGTGGCGTCTCAGTATACCGCGAGCAGTAGCTTGCGGTATACTGAGCTTAGGGTGACGGGAGGATGCTAGTTTGTGTCCTCCCATTACCCTAAGGAGAACTATTGGGAAAAGCCTTAACCCCATAGTTCTCCTTTAAAGAATCTTCAGATTCTGACACTTCTGGGAGTTTGCAGATACCGGGCCCTGCTCTGCATTTCTCCCACTGGCCCCTACATCAGTACAAGACACAGTAGGGGTTGGTAGAAGGAACCACATGCATGGCTGGGGACCAAGAATCTGACTCTCCTTGTTATTTCTGATTTTGAAGATTCTTCAAGCAGTGGTAGTGGCACAACCAAAGACTACAATGAGAATCTTCTTTGGAAGGAATCATTTTTATTTTAGCAGCAGAATGGCTTTAGTGAATTTATTCATTTTGCTTGGTATCTAAATCCTTAACATTGTTTTTCAGGTTGCTCCATCTTCCTTTGATTACACAGTCATGTGCAGGGGAAAATACATGATTTTCACTTAATTTCTAACTTAATTATATTCTTTTATTTTTAATTTTCTTGTTGAAGTTTAGGTACATGATTGGGTATTCAGAGAGGATTAACTAAGCAAAATTAACATTCACTTTGCTAAGTGTCTACCTTTAGTAAATCAACCCCATAGAGAGGATTATTTAAACAATATTTGTATCCATTTAAAAGGAAACGTTGGTAAAAAACTTGTTGGTCTAGTCAAATGTTGCATATCATGCAATGGATCTAAAAAGGTAAAATAAAAAACGTACTTAGTTTAGCTCAAGAATCAGTTCCACAAAAATTATATTTAAATTTTACACCTATTTATACACCTATTTTAAAAGGAGTCAGCCCCTGGCTTCTTCTATAACTTTAATACTCCAACAGCGGTGCTTGTCTGCTAGAATTCCTAAATCTTCCAGTCTACCTGGGAATTTTTGGCATACCCATTTGCACGTTACACTTTTACCAATTTCATTACCTCTGAAAAACAAATTACGGGATTCAAAAGTGGGATGAGGGATACCCCTAATGGCCACAGTAGGTGTTAAGAGCCCGGAAACCAAATATAGAGAACGATAGTGCCCCTGAGAGATACAAGAAACAGGTGGTTTCAGCATCTACCAAATCTATCGAAAACCAAAATACTAATTCTTGGGGGGACTGACTGTTAACAATTGCTTTAAAATGTATAAATCACCTACATCACACAAGTTCAGTGAGTGCAAAAGCTATTAAGTACAGCTTTACCTTTTGTGGCATTGTGTGGCAACACCACGGTATAATGTGGCATCAATTTCACCCAGGACTCCCAGCCAGAGGAACTGAGCATTTCCAGCAAAGTAGTTTTACCTGAAATTCTTTCAGGCATTTTGGATTAGAGTTGGGATTCTGGAACCAGGAGATTTCTAAGAGAATTGGGAGGGATGAAATCTCCATTCATGGGTCCGGGCTTTTGTAGTGACTGATGCGCAACCCTTCTGAAAAGGCTGCTTGCTGATGTTCAAGGTTCCAGCTGGAAGACAAAAGAGGTGTCTGTCCAGTAGTCAAGAGGACTCCATCCTGGAACCAGTCTTTGTGGCAAGTCTGTTGGATACAGCCTGCGTGGGAGAAGTTTAAAGTTTCAACCTGAAGTGGGTTAAACTTTGAAAATATTATTTTGCTGAAAGACAAAGCTGAAGTTGTGTTGTTATGTTGGAGAAACCCCTGTGAGGGAAAACTTCTGTGAACTTTAAAAAAAGTGGGCAAGAAGCCCTAAAAAGAAGATGTTTGCGAGTGGACTAGGTCCTACGTCCTATGCACTATTATTTGAAGCTAAATCTCACACTTTATATAAAACTATTGCCCCTCTTAGATATTATATAAAATATCAGACTTCAGATGCAGCATGGTCCCTTTCTACACTGCCTGGCTTTCAGATGTGCTGGACATTTTTACCAATAGAAGGATATTTATGTATATTTTAAGCTTTTTATTTTTGCACAACTGACTTACCTGACAGCTCTACAAAGAGAGAATATGGTTTCATGCTGGATTATCTCACACAAAAATACACAGGAACATTGGTTTTAGCAACAAAAGGTACATAACAAAAATAACTTTGAATTGTTCTAGGATTTTGTGACAAGCAGCTGGTGGAAATGACCAATTTCATGTTCTTAAACATAGATTTATGCCTGAAAGAAAGCACTAATGATACATGAGTGCAATCAATTGCACCAAGAACATTACGAATTTGAGCAATATTGTAAAAGTCGTGTTTAATTTCAACCTCACTGCAAGGCTCTGTAGGGAATTTAATGAACAGTTTTTAATACCTGCTTTAATATCAAATAAAATGCTGAGAGCAATGTAGTGAAGAAATACTTCTGGCAGAAAGTCTTTTATTTGTCCGAGTTCAAGTCTTTACCGTCTTAGACAAATGGCAAAACCTTAGCATAACCACGCATGTATATTCTGATATTATGGCTTGAATAGAGAAATGTAACACCCTACAGAACATTTACTTTCTTAATTTACATTTACATCCTTAAAAATTGCTACATATGATTGCTTGTTATGATTAGGGCACAATGTATGCAATAATAGTGAAAGGACATTTTAAATATAAAATGTTGTAACATTTTAACAGCAAGTTTTCTTACACCCTCACACTAACTGATGGACGGAAATTTGATTAGTAGTAATGCATGAAGTTGAACATTTTTACATCCCAACATTTTATCAAAATGCAAAAGTTTTCAGTAAAATGTCACCATGCTAGTAAAATGCATCGGCGTCAGTGGGAATGAAATTAAGACATATTTTGTTGTTTGGATGCAGTATGCTTTAAATAGTTCCTGAGGGCTATGTGAGCTGTTTTCAACTATCCTACACTGCTATTTTTGAAAAAAAATGGTTTATCATTAACCTCATTATTTTGTGTACAGAACGAAAACAGACAGTGAATAAAAAGGAAAATAAAAAGTTAAAGTGACAGTATACAAATAACATTCAATAGAAAAAGCAGCTCAATAAATGAAGCTGAAAGTTTTGACTTTTTTAAAATTACACTAATACACTACACTAATAGCAAAATCATGGAAATCCCTCTTTTCATGTTTGTGAAAAGCAGTGAAAAGCAGAAGCTGAAATAAAGGACTGATAAAAGATTCTAAAAAAATACATAAATTATGAAATCTGTTTACTAATGATATCAACTGGAGTCATGTATATGCTCCTTCCCACTTGCCCCCTATTCTTGCGGTATCAAAAGTACAAAAGGTAAATTGGAGAAAATTAGCATCTGGCCTCTGTGCTTAACCACCTTCCGTCCATAGCCGTTTGAGAATGGCCGGACGGAAGTCTGCTAGGAGCGGGAGGGCGTCTCAAGACGTCCTGCCCCTCCCCCTCTTGTGTGCGGCACTCAGGGCGCACACGAGAGGGAAAACTGTGAGCGTGTAAACAGCCAGCGATGGCTGTTTACATACAAGCGATCAGGCATCTCTATAGATGCCCGATCGCAATCTCTGCTTCATCAGCTTCTGTGGGGGTCCCTAGGTGACATCAGAGGTCTTGGAAACTCCTGATGTCTCCATAAAGAGGACCTGTTTGGTGAACTGGCTATTACATAGGGGATTTCTTAGTCCCCTATATTATAGCAATAAAGTTGTCTAAAAACATGGTGATTAAATACCACCAAAAGAAAGCTCTATCTGTCCCCAAAAAATGGTATGAAATTCGTATCAGTACAGCATTGCATGACGGAATAAACGTCAGTCAAAGTACTGCAGCACTGAATACTGAAAAATGGCCTGGCCAGGAAGGGGGTGAAACACCCCGGTCTTCAAGTGGTTAAAAAGGCATACATCTTTTTTCTGTAGACTCCTCTCACAGCACTCACCCACATGCTGAAGGGTGTATGGACTGGAATCAACATAGTGGGGGACTCACAAGCATATGGCTTTGCATGATGTCTGCAGTGATGCTTCTCAACACATATATGCAACGTATGGATCCACATGATGTGTCTTTCCTGGAACAATCATACCGTGGCTCCACAGTACCAACAAAAATACCATGAGATTTCACATTGACCTCTAGCCTTTAGTTTGGTATGTGCAACAGAATCTTTTTAGAGAAGACATTTGTGGTTTTAGAAAATATATACTCAAAAGTCATACTTGCCTTGTTGGGATTTTCAGCCGTAATAACCCAAACACATTGGGCATTGCTGTCATATTGAAATGGGAAGTTTGGTGACATGAATGAGCCACTTGGACCTTGAACATTTGATCCACATGTCTTCACTGTAATAGAAAAATACATTTATGTTCCCATAACTAAATATGATATTAATATTTGCTTAGTGTACTTATGTATACTTAATTTTGGATCAATATTATAAAAAGAAAATAATGTTGTGTTTTCTATTCAGAACAGAAGAAGTGGTTGAATCACTAAGGATAAGTACACACACATATATATATATATATATAAAAAAAAAATATATATGTATACACATACTTAACATATATTTACTTTGATTATTCCTTAAGCGCAACTGAAAAATACAATCTCCATAGAAAAGGCAATTTCCTCTTTCTCAATATCAATTAAACTTTAATAACTAGTTAATATGTTTTTAATTATATATGATTTAGAGAGTGTGTTTTCATTACCTTCAGACCCCACTGAACAACCATTTTTGTTATTCTCAATAGATTAAGTGAATTCCACAGTCAGTATAATTTTATTTTAATGTGCTTAATTATCTTTTCAGTGTAAATTTGTTTACAACCCCAGTGAAAACGTAGTGTATGTTTTGTCAAAAATAAACCAGGGCTGGAACAGTCTCAGAACCACTTGTTTGTGTTTTTCATACTCAGTTTGGGGACTTTTAGGAAAAGTATTGTCAGATGGGCTTATTTACTAAGGAAGTTGAGAATCTTGTTAACTTTGAATACCCAATAATGTGCAGAAGAAAAAATAAGCGAGAATTTGCATTTTACATTATGGTATAATGAAAGTCAATCTTCCCATCTCATTTAGTAAATCTGCCTGATTGTCTTGCTGGAAAGTGAGAAGAAATCTTCCATCAGTGATAAATGCCTTTGTGTCTTCTTTCAGAAGATTTCCTTTCACTTCCTGTTGCATGTCCAAGGAAGTGAAATAAAATCTGCCTATCAGTACACAGATAGGAAAATAACCTGATAAAGGTTTTAACACTTCCCCATTCTGTTCAAAGCAACACTTTAGTATTAAAAAAATCAGTCCACCACATACTGATATATAATTTCCTGGTAGATAGTAGATAGTAAATACCAGCTGGCATTTTTTGTCTCTGTTGGTGAGATCTCTGTGCTTGATTTCCTGGCTCTGTCCACCTGTTTGCAATTATGAGGGGCTTTTACTATTTCTGCTGGATTTTGTATTTATTTTATGTTATGGAGAATGAAAAACTGGTTGTTGAGACATAAGAAAGTGGATGAGAACACTATAAACTCCCAGGGGGACAGGAAAAGTCAGAAATTGTGGCAGGAAAATCTCACTTTTGGCATATGAAAGACATAAGAAGCTTGGAAATGATTATGATTAGGCTACATAAATAACTTAAACATTCCTTTTGGACCTGGCCTTTAGATGTAATTAGAATCCATCAAAATTGTATTAAAAAGGTTATAAATCTATATAAAGCTGTAATGATAAAACTAAGGGGTTTATTCACTAAGCTGCCATAGGCAGCCGAGTGACTACTGACCGACTAACTGCTGTTCGGCTATTCACTGAAATCAGCCGTACATCGGGTGGCTTTGTGTGGCTTCGGGTCGGCCGAACATGTGCAGCATGTTCGGCCGACCCAAAGTGCAGAAGGAGTTCGACTCAGCCGATCCAACATCAGGATCGGCTGAGCCGAACCTCCGGCAGGCTACTCACTGCTGTTCGGCCTATTCTTATAGATGCCGAACAGCAGTGAGTGAATAGCCGAATGCCGTTGGCCGGGCGGTTCTGCTGCCATCAAAAAAGAACACACCATAGGAATGCATAGCTAGATTCCTATTGGCTATTTCACTTTTGCAATAGCTATTGCACCAGCCCTCTGCTGCTGTCAATCACCAGAAGGGGACCTGATGGAGAACTGCAGGTCCTCCTCTGATTATTGACAGCAGCTAGTTTGCTATTGGCTATTGCAAAGTGAAATAGCCAATAGGAATCTAGCTTTTTCTTCTTCTGACTGCAGCCAAGAGCTCCGATGTCAGAAGAAAAAAAAAAACGAGCAGGGAAAGGTTTACTCTGCTTGATCGAGCAGAGTGAACCTTTCTGGGAGAAAGTGTTCACTCCCGGGTGGCCAGGAGCCTATTAGACTCCCAGAGCGCCCGGGTGAGGAATGACAGATGGCGTTCCTGGTTACCAGGTAACCAGGAATGCCACCTGTCATTACACATTGAGAACATGGAGAGGCCGCTGTGATATCATAGCGGCCTGACTGGGTTCTCAGCGTGTAATGACAGCGTCCCTGGTTAGTTGGTAACCTGGGATGCTGATCTCCCTGAAAGTAGCCGGGGCAGCCGTGAGATGATGGCTGGCTCCGCCCAGCTGTCAGAAGCAGGCTGTCGGCCAGCCATTTAGCCAGCTTCGGCTTTCACCGCAGCTCAGTCGAGCCGAGGCATATGCCTTCGGCTCGACCAACTTCGGGAGCTGTACATGCTATAGTGAATAGCCCGTACACCAGCCCTTCAGTTCTCCTGAACCGAAGGGGTCATGGGGCCGAAGCTAGCCGAAGCATCAGCCGAAGCTATGGCTAGATCAGTAGAAGGCAAAGCAAAAATTGACATACCCTACAATTACAATTGCATTACAATTACTTTAATTGTTTACTTTTTGGATATACATAGTGAAGTAGAGACATTCAATCTCCTTGGGTTTATTTTTTGAAGGGGTAGTGATTGTTCAGATCAAAAAGAATCACCTTGATTCTTGTCTACGCAAGAATCACTGTGACTACCCAATCATGTACAGGAGAATTTAAAAACAAGTCAACACAGCTTCACTTTATTAATTTTGCTAAGTAAACATTTGAGCTCCTTTAGTAAAGCATCCCCATCTAATCAGAAATAATACAAAGGACATATAAACTATAATGTCTCATTTTCATTCAAACGTTGTTGCCCTTGAACAAAAGGAAATTTCTAAAAACAAGAAACTCCTGTTTTCTATATAAGGCCCCTGTTATATGTAACATATTGGTTATTCTGCAACTGAATCACTTTCTCAGTTATATGAACACAAGCACATATGCTGCTTGCTGGAGACTAAACTAAAGCTGTTTGCAGCTAACTGCTTTGAAAAGATTGAGATGTGTTAACAGAGAAATGGACCATTTCTAAATAAGTGACCCACAACACTGAACTATCTCTGCATGTTATTTAATTACCCTGCAGCAGACCTGTAGAGGTATCGGGTTTTATGATCATTTAAGACAAACATCGGAACTATGTCAATCCTACTAAATGAAAACGTGATTGCAAACATTATACAATTAGCCATCAGAATGTTAGCATTCTGCAGAAGTGACAAGCATGCACCGGTGAAATTAAAGGAGACTAGCTGGGGAGCCTGTCACTTTTTCTGTACTAGTATCAGTAAATGAGGGAGAAGGCTTGCCTTTAAAAATGACCCATGATGTTGTAAGACAAACATTTAAGCTGCTCTGGAGACTTGCTTTTCAGTCCTTGCAGTATACAATAGATTTAGCACCCATTATGGCAGACAGCAGTGAGAGAAGATACAGATATAGTTTCTAATTAAATTACAATGCAAAAATAAATATTTTGGATAGAGTAGAAAATAGTTAAAATCTATGTCAGGTCTTCATTGCTGTCTGCTGTCCATTCCCCCTATAGAGAGATTTAAGTCTAAATTTGTCCTGGTGATCATTGTCACCAAGACAGAAAGTGATGTGAAATCCAAAATATCACTTTTTTTAACATTGTCTGTGTCCCACTGAAGGGATTTTCTTCACTTCCTGTCCCAGAGATCCAAAAGGAAATGAGATGAAATGAGGCAAAATCTGTCTTAGATAGTTTGAATGGGCACTCTAATTTATCAAAATAAGAAGCTTGAAGGATAGCTTGATATACATACATACATTGCAGTTTGAGCACTCAGTCTTCTAGTGCTTTTAATACTAAGATTACATCTAACAAGGACTGAAAATCATGTGCGGGTAGTACACTAAAGTGTACTAAAGTAAGCATGGAGAGTAGACAGTAAGATGAACTGTAACATTTCCAAGAGATTTTGAAGTGGCTTTAGCTTGTGTGGTGTAATTGAAGATTTTTTTTCCATTTGAGCAAGCTATCCTTCAAGAGTTGAAATCCATTGAGAAGAATTTATCAAAACTGGAGCAGACAAAATCTGGAGCAGCTGTGCATGGCAACCAATCATCTTCTCTCTTCAGTTTGCTCAGTTTGCTTAGGTAAGGTTTGAAAATGAGAGAGATAATCTGATTGGTTTTGTCTGCTCCAGTTTTGATAAACTGGTCATAATTTTATTAACATGTGATTCAGAGAAAACATAATTTACATTTGTCACAAGTGAAGGAAAATAATACAAATATCTGATAAAATCTAAAGAGAATAATGCAAAACCCATTTCCAACCTTTAACTTACAAAAGTGATTACATAACACAGCTGCTGTCATATGACATCTGCCCAATTCATAGGTCTATTTGAATAAGTACACCTGTTTCAGTGACAGCTGTCTAAGAGAGAATTTCCACTCCACAGACAGGAAGTGTAGAAAAATCTGCCGAATTGGGCAGAGAGATAAAAAAGGAGGATTTCACAAAAGTTCACTCTATCTAAAGCTTAAAAATATTTGACTTTAGATACACTTCAAATATTTTAGAGTATCTGCCCCCTCACCCCTACTCTATCTATCTATCTATCTATCTATCTATCTATCTATCTATCTATCTATCTATCTATCTATCAGGGGCGTAACTAGAAATCACAGGGCCCCATAGCAAAATTTTGTATAGGGCCCCCCAACCTGCACCCCCCTCTGGTGCTTGAACTACAGCATATATTATCATTTACGATTAATAATAAGATTAAATGCCGTTTGCAATAGATCAGTGTCCCTGAGCTTAGGATACGTGCGCCCAGAGACAGTGATCTATTCAAAACTGCATTTAATCATATCGCGTACATTACGTGTGGATTGCCGCTTACAGATATGGCCGCTGTCACCCAGTCATTAACTTCAGTGTGTACAGCGGCCACATCTAAGTGGGACACCCAATAT